TGTAATACTAATAACAAAACTTAAAACAAAGTTCTTATAATGCAACTTAATAATCAAACTTAAAACAAAGTTCTTATAATGCAACTTAGTAATCAAGTCACATACAATCTAAAAAATTCAGAAAATTTAGGGTTAGTTGCACTTAAATATCCTAAAGTTTAATTATTTTTTAACTTTGGTACCTGACGTCTAGTTTTCCCAAATAATACCCCCAAAGTTCTTTTTGACAGTAATACCTTTTGTCACGTCAATGATTAGATTCTGGAAAAATTTTATGTTTTTCCCAAAAACTCCTTCCTTGTTAATTCTTTCTTTCAATTTAGAGTTTTCCATTCAATATTTGGTGTGAAATTTTAAACGGCAGTTATTTTTCAACAGTTTAACACCAAATTTCATTGTTCTTAATTCAAAGGAAGAAGAGAAAGACAGGGATTCAGAGGGCTTACATTTTAGTTTAGGGGGGTGCATATAAGTCCAAATATTATCATGTGTGTGATGCCTTTGAAAAAATTTATGAATGGTGACGTAACATGAAATTAGAGTAAATTCGTGAAACTTTGGTATCACTTGGGAAATTTAAACATATCAAAGTTAAAAATCAAAGAAATGTAGGGCATTAAAAGCAATCAACCCAAAAGTTAACAATAAAGCTTCTCGGAAAAACAACATTTATATAATACTTTCAAGAACTAAAGCACAATATAAGCATAATTAAACAGAAAAACTATCCGATGCTTCGCGAAATTGCCCCAACTCTTTTAACTAGCATTTCGCAATTCAAAAGCTTAAGGATCAAACTTTTTCCTCAAATTATTTTTAAAAAAAAAAGATCCTTCCCCTTATATTAAATTAGGGTTTGCAGAAGCATGGCAGTGTATTAGGATCGATTAGTCCCACATTTATTAAATGGAGAGTCAATTGTGTGTTTATAGGTTCTTATAAGGACCTGTTTGGTTATGAGAAATAGAAAAGAAAACCTTGGAAAGGGTCTAACAGCGTCAGAACATGTCAAAATGTGACAAAAAGTAAGGAAAATAACCCAAAAAAGGATTACTAAACTTGTGTTAGGTTCACTCAAGTAAAAATAGATATACTTTCTTAAAACCCCTTGCCACGTCAATTATTAAGGAATGCCCAATTTCGAGCCTTCTGAGCGGAATTGGCTGAAAAAGGCTAGAAAAGGGGTGTTTTATTAATAAAAAGATTAGAAGAGAGGCAGTTGGAGGTTTCTCGAGAGAGAAATATTAATAAAAAAGGGTTTCACCATTTCCTAAAGTTGTCCATTCCTTTTCTTTTTGTTGTGAAACAAACTAGTTGCTGGAAAAGGATTGCACCATCATTTTCACTCCTATTTCTATGCAATCAAACTCAATATGTTTTGTTCGAAAAAGCCTCAAATACAGATTCCCAAGAATGGCTAGAAAACGTAAAAAAAAAAAATTTCTGGCTCGGATTGCCCGTTCTATATTTTTTGGAACCGAAATGAACAGTCCCTAAGAGACGTGGGTTTCCTACCGCTAACAGCCGGCTTTTAGGGGTAAGTTCTCTCTTACACTAATCCTAACCCTCAACTTTTTAACTAGAATTTTGGGCATATTCATAAGTCCAACAAAAACAAGATTTTAAAAAAAAAATAAGATTCTTTCTCCTTCTGTTGCATTGATCTGCAGAAGCATGGTGGTACATTAGGGTCCATTTGGACCCATATTGATTAAATGGGGAGTTGATTGTGTTTATGGTCTTAATAGTGTGTTTGGATGGCGGTAGCAAAGGGTGGGGGAAGGAAAGTGGGCACTTAACTCTGTTTGGGTTGAGAAGGGTAGCGTTGGAGTGTAGAGGAGGAAAGGGGAATTGGTCATAAACAATCTAACATTTCGCCCTCTATCATAACATCTGAGATTTGATAACGAATCACTTCTTTTCCCTTCCCTTTCCCTTATTAGAACTCCCAAACATTATGTGATAAGTTACCCTCCATTCCATTCACTAAACTCCCAAACAAGATATTTATATTTTTCCCTCTCCTTCTCTACCTTCCCTTTTCCTTGTTGATCTTTCCCTTCTCTTTCCTAGCATATTCTTGTTAAAAAGAGATTTGGGTTCCCTCCCTCTAACAGCTAGCAGCTCCCTCTAACGGTAACAGCTAGTTTTAGGGATGAGTTATGCTATCCTAAACTAAGCTCAAACCTCTAACCCTAACCTTTTCTAACCAGCATTTGAGGCATAATTCAACAATTCCAATAAAGATCAAAATTTTCCCTCGGAAAATAACAGAAAACAAACAATAATAACACAAAACAAGATGAAATCTCAAGAACGCCGTTTTAATTTTAATGGAGGGATCGAGCCACTCATACCACCGAGCTTTGCACTGCTTCGCGGATTTGCGAACGAGAAGCGAAGAAATCCGAGCCCACTGATTCTTTCCATACTTCATAGCCGCGGCTTTGAGGATTTCATCTTCCGTGTTCTTCCAAACTCCGCCCTTTATCATAATCCTCGTCTTCAATCCCCCTTCTAATTTGCCTCCTCTTCCTCAGGAATGAATTAGGAAGGGAAAGGATTTCAATTGAAGTGTTTGAGATTGTCGCTCTCGAATTCTAGGGTTTTAGCGCGCGCAGAGAGAGAGAGAGAGAGAGAGTAGAAGGGCATTGGTGGAAATAATGGAATTTCGATCCAGTAGTAACGGATTGGCCAAATAGAACTTAAATACCGTTTCATCTACGGTAAACTCCCCAAAACTCTTGATTGTTTAACAGAGCCCCTAAACTTTTGAAAAGTTCAACAAATGGAACTTTCCTCTTTAAAAAAATAATCCCCCTCTTCAATAAAACCACAACAAATTCCTCCAACGCTTTTCATTGTTTGCATACATCCTCTCCTTTCCGACTGATCATAGAACGGAATTTTCCGCAACGTTTTCGTTTTCAAAAGTTCAAGAAAACTATGTGAAGCTCCCCAAAAAAGTAAGGGGTTCTGCTGTTGGGGAATTTTACTCTCCCCGCCTACTACAATATGCGCAACTAGAAAGCCAACCCACAATCAACAAGATATAAAACAACCACAATCAAGAAGAAAGAACACTGAGATTTACATGATTCGATCGACCAACTTCAACCTACGTCTACGGGGCAATAATGTGAGAAATCCACTATGTATTAGGGAGATGTTAGGATCCAAGCAACTTGGGAAACCCACCCTTAAAAGCTAGCTGTTAAGGGGGAAGAACCAAGCTACTTAAATACCCATCAAGTTTTCCATTTTACTCGATGTGGGACTTTAGGCAGCTCATACTACCTAAGTCCCTAACATAGCACCGCCCCTGAGAGCCGACGTCCCAGCGGCTGCACTCTATAATGCTTCACTCGGCGTTGCTTCACTCGGCCTTTCCGGTCAGCCCCTCTGCCGGTCAGCCCCTCCACAGGTAGCCCTTTTCGTGACACCGACAACCATCTCTGATACCAATTGTTAGGATCCAAGCAACTTGGGGAACCCACCCTTAAAAGCTAGCTGTTAAGGGGGAAGAACCAAGCTACTTAAATACCCTATCAAGTTTTCCATTTTACTCGATGTGGGACTTTAGGCAGCCCATACTACCCAAGTCCCTAACAGGAGAACTAGGAGAGGAACTACTCAACTCTCGTCTCTCAATCTCTCAACCTCACATACATAATCAACTCTCATATTCTCTGCAAAGCTCTCTCCTTACAATCTTTTGAACAGACAAAGACTGTAAAACCCTCTCCCAATGATGTAATCTTTTGTACAGACAAAGACTACGAAACCCTCGCCTCTCGCGCAATATTTTTGAATCAGACTACGCCCTCTGCTAAACTTAGATTACAAGAATATTGGCTCTCTCTCTTCTCCTTGGTTTTTCCTCCAACAATAGAAGAATATATATATGAAAACCAAAAATCATATCTCTAGCCTAACTTCCTAATTATAATAGTATTCAAACTCCTAACATGATAGATCTCTAACCCTATCTAATTCTCATAAAGTTATACAAAGAATCAAAGACACAATCCCAACATCTGCAACTTTTAGACTTCAGATCATTTTGCACAAACCACCCTAAATCAAGGATATTCTGTGAAATTTACCCTATTAGATAATGAATCTATACTCTGTTCAAAACGAATATATAATTTTAATTTGAGAAAGCTAAAAGCAATAGAATAAACATTCCGACTAGAACTGTATGTTTTCAAGTTAAACTTGATCAATCATTCAACTAATTCAATAAGCTTTCAATTATAAAACTACTAGTTCTCCGTTGCACACTCCGTTTGCACATGATGCGTGCGTTATGTAGTAAATTTGCCGTAAATAATGTTTTTAACATCGTAATAATTAGCACTAACTTAAATAGATTTTTAGAAAATTGTTATCAAAATGATATAGAGTATCTTACTATTAGAAAATGTAGGGAGTTGAGGAGTTATCAAGGGGGCGTTTGGTTGTTGTATTTTGAGAGTGAAAAGGCCCGAAAGCCTGACACAGTGTCAGGCTTTCGGGCCAAATCGGCTTCTCAGAGGGCGTTTTTGCCCACTTCCCTGACACAGATGGGACACTGTGTCAGGGTTTCAGCCTTTTTCACCCCAAACCAAACAGCCCCCAAATAGCGGATAGCAGCTAACAGTATTTTTAGATCTGTTCAATCTTGCACTATTAATTAGTTTCACCGTACAGTAAATTGTTGAGAACATATGTTGAATTTTTTAAAATCTTGACCACATCGGGCTAGAACCAAAAGCATGCATGGATTTTTTATTTTATTTTTTCACATGATAGTAGTAGATAGATGCGTCTAAATTTGATAAGCATAAGTTTCATAGTTCCTACATCGTTGTCAAAATCTGCAGGCATCATCGTCAAACTTAATGGCACAGTAACTTCCCCATGACCATTACTGAGCAATTAGACCTGATACAAATAATTCCTACTTTCACAAAGTATCACATTCAAAAACTGAATCTATAATTCAATAATGAACATTGAACTATTAACTACCCAATAACATTGAAAGATAAAAGAGGAATATACATCAGAGCAAGAACTCTCCAAATAGTACTGATTACAAGATAGCAATAGATATGTACAAACCCTCAAAGTAAAAGGGCTAAATTGAGGTAAAATCAGAGTTCAAACACAAATAATATCTCAAAACCACAACGTTCCAATTATCAGCTGGAATGCTTTAATCTTGTAACCGGGAGAAGATTTACAAAAATGGACTACTTTCGATTACATATGGAATTTATGATTTTGGCTTGCGAGAAATCCCCTCACGCAGGCTTCGGAAGTGACTGAGTATTTGTTGTGCCTGCACATGCATATGAAGGAGAATTTCTCAGCATCAGTATTGACAAAAATACATTATCAGCAAAATCTTGAGATGGTCACACTTAATTTGATCCTGTGAAGCTTAACTACACACTACAAAGAAATTGAAAGGGTACCTACAATGATCAATGTACATAGAAACTTTCGACAAACTTACAGGAGACTGTTGGCTGGTTATTTTTAAGAATGGAGTAGATAATTTGAAAGTAGCTGTACTTTATCAGGCTATGAAGCAAAAGATCATATCCAATAAGATCATGAAAATCTTAGGTCCCCATAAGGATCAATGTACATAAATTTTTTCATTGAACTTGCACCAGTCTACTCCATATGACTAAATTACCTGTGTTTTATAGGAATTTAGAGAAAAAAATTGCATCCAATAAGAACTTTTTACATCTTAGAAAGCCACAGTGCCTATAAAGATCAGATGATCAATGTACATAGAACGTTTCATTGAACTCACACCAGTCTATTAGCTGGTTATCTCTCAAAATAAAGTTGACAATTTGAAATTACTTGTTTTATCAGAATTCAAAGCAAAAAAGACATATCTAATAGGACTTTCCTGCATGAGCTTCAGAGTAGTTATTAAGCTTTCTGGTTTCTTAAAGTAGAAGCTTCTTTCTAAATATTACTTAGTTCATTAAGATTTTGATGTTTTACAATCCCTCACAAATCACTATCTATCTAAAATGTACATATATATATACATTATATGTGTGTGTATTATGTATAAGGTGAATTTCAAAACACCACACCCCCAACAC